GTCTTTGAATTGCTTTTGGCACAAATACATTATTTAGAAGCTTCAGGTTATTCGGATATAAATCGAAAATACCTTGACTCAAACATCAAAATATCCCAAAATATAACGACTCTAACACAGAACATGACAATTTGCGCTGATTTGGGATTTGATGCTCACAATTACCAGCTTAGCATGCTGAAATGTTGCTGAAATTGCCGAACATAGCCGAGGATTAAACGAAAATTAGAAACCTACTATAGAACAAATTCTATCCATCTGATGTTTTAGTGTGTGGATCTTCAAGGCTTTATTGATACTGCGCGAGTGTATTTAGAACGTCGTCCAAATGAATAGTGAGTATTTTTCTTCAATTTATTCTTTACGTTTTCGATTCTCGGTTCTGCAAATTAACTTTGTTATGCCACTTCCCACCCTGTATATAGGGTGTCCCATATGAGTAAATATGCTTAGAGTTTCAGTGACCTAACATAAAGTCTTAAGGAGGGTGTTTGAACAGCAATTTATGCGATTGGTAATCGCAAGCCTTGTCTTTTTAATGGTGGTGGGCGACATCTATCTATATCAGAGCAGTGCCTTCTGCATTTTCAGCGTATGGATCGAAGATGTTTCGAGCTTTGGAGTACTATCCCTTCGTAACAGATGTCAAAGTTGTCACCTCTTTACGCACAACCTGCTTTTTTATACCGAAGTTTCCACGTACGTAGAAGCCTAAATACCAGGGCGCCACGGCTGTTAAGAGAAGCTTAAAGTTGAGGATAGTAGCACTGGGAAAAACCTGACCAAGTGGATTGTTCCACAGCCCGGATGTACGATGTTCATCACGGTCAGGATGAGAGGCCAGCGCAGAGAAAGCAGTGAGGAGCAAATTCCGTTGACATAGCGCTAGGAGAGAGCTAGATCGCTGACTTTGAATCGGTGCGAAATTGTCCCGAGACTATCCATTAGAAAAGTGTTATCATCGATCAGCAGTCGAACAGCTCTCCTGTGAACAACCTCGAGCATGGATGACGTAGCCAGCGTGACACATGTGAACGGCATTCGAGGCTAGGCCTTATGTGTGCCTTTTACAGAGAGAGGTTATATACAGTATATTCAGATAAGAGATAGACCGGATTTAAACAAAAGGTTCGGGTGATTTTCACGCTAACGCCGCCGTCTCGACGTAAAACAGGAGCCGTCATTGGTCAATTCGCAATTAAATGCCTATGCCGAGCGGCAGAGCAGTCGTATCAAGGCAGAGTCACATTCAGGTTCAGACGTGTTACGTATGTCGTGTGCATCATTGCAATTTGATATTTCTTTGGACGTTTTCGTTTGTTATCTTATTAAGTTGTTGAGTTTGTCGTTGCTATTGTTATACCTTGTTATTGATTGTTATTGTTATCAACTGCTTGCGCAAAATGCCCAGTAGTACAGATACTGCCGATGAAGTTGTAAACTCCTGGAGTCCACCTAGGAAACGCTCTAAAAAAAGACACCTGAGTGCAGAAATGAAAGAGGTCATTTTCAACATATATAAGATCGAGCGCGAGGAGAACGAGGCATCAACCATCAAAGAAATTGTTGTGAAGGTTTCTCACAAAGTTGGGGTGTGTCGCGCATCAGTGTTTAATGTGTTAAGACAATACAAAAAAAATTCCAATGACCAGTAAACATCGCAAAAGTATTGTTAAATCATTGGATGAAGCTGATAAGCATGCGATTAGGAGGAAAGTGCATGAATTCTTCTTTAGGAATGAAATACCTACTATAGATAAAGTACTGCAGGAGGTAAATGGAGATACAACGTTGCCAAATTTCAAACGATCAACTTTCCATGCGTTACTGAAGCATTTAAATTTCAAATGGAAAAAATGGGGTCGTAATAGTTTACTACTGGATAGAGAAGAAATTGTGCTATGGAGGAGGGATTATTTAACAAAAATTGGAAAATATAGAAATCAAAACAGGAAGATTTTTTACCTTGATGAAACATGGGTAAACGCAGGACACACTACAAGTAAAGTATGGGTTGATGATTCTGTAACTTCATCCAGGAGGGCCTTTCTAGATGGACTGTCCACCGGATTAAAAAATCCAGCAGGTAAATACGAGTAATAGACAACAATCGGATGTTTTTCAAACCTTGGGAACAAGGTTCTAAACGTTAATTCCAGGGGGCAGATAAAACATATGACAAGTAACAAAACTTTTATAACTTTCGATAAAATGCGTGGATGTTTTATTGTCATTTTCATTTGTTAGAACTTTTTTAAGCCATGTTTTTATGTGTTTTCGATATTTCAATAATTTTTTAATATAATCTTAAAATATGTCGAATATTATAAACTTAAAAAAAGTTACTAAGTTTTATATTGTGTACCGTTCCTAATATTTCTAATCATTTTAATTCATACTTTAAGCTTTATAAAGTTATAATTTGTTAATATTAATATTTGCGCGTATTTCAGGTTCCTGATCATTCATTTTTTAGAGGTTTATAACTTTATTAAATTGTGAAGCGCTGAGTAATCATACGCCGTCCAATATTCTTCTTTTCAATATGACTAAATAATCCCAATTATAGCAATCTGATACTCATGTCTCAATGTTTTTTCGCTAAATGTGATGAAAACATTTGAAAAAGGTTCGCTTATTGAAATAAATCTACACCAGTTAGTACTTCGATTTCCAGGTAAAGGGAAAAGGCTCATATCTGCCATATTGGCAGTGAGGATGGATTTGTTGTTGACGGTCTGTGGTGCTTTGAGTCTAAGAAAACTGGAGATTACCACGAGGAAATGAATGGCGAATCGTTTGAACAGTGGTTTTCAAAAATTTTACCGAACTTAGAGGAAGACGCAGTAATTGTGTTGGATAATGCGCCTTATCATTCTCGAAGAATGGAGAAGGTCCCAACAACGGCTTCAAGGAAAGTTGATGTTCAAAATTGGCTCCGCTCGAAAAATATCAACTTTGAAGAAGCAATGCTGAAAGTACAATTATTAAGAATTGTCAAGGATCACAAGGCGGAATATCAAAAATACGCCATTGACGAAATGGCAGCAAGTCAAAATAAAACTGTGCTCCGTTTACCTCCATACGATTGCGAGCTTAATCCCATTGAGCTCATATGGGCAGAGGTTAAAAATTATATAGCTAAGCACAATACAACTTTTAAATTTTGTGACCTCAAAGGACTTTTCAAAGAAGCACTAGAATTAATAACAGCGCAAAAATGGGAAAACTGTATTAAGCACGTGAAAGACGAAGTTGAAAAGAGAATGTGGGAACTGGACAATATTTTAGAGGAACAAGTCGAGCCATTCATTATTGACGTTGGTGCTTCAGGCAGTAGCGATGATGAAAGCTCATCAAGCTCATCTTTCCAATAAAAGATGTCGTTCATCAAATTCGGTAAGTTATAAGTAATTATAAAGCTACTGTATTTTTTAATTAATTATTGACATTTTTGAACCCATTTTGGCAAAACCTATTCAAGAATCTACTTTCTGACAATGTTCAACCATGCACATTTTTTTACGTTTTGAACGTTTTAACTTGGTTACATATTTACCTAGAAATCAAAAAATATACTAATCAATATTCTAAAAGCAATTTTAAGAGATATACGATTATTTTTAATTTAGGCTAATTTAAACGCCATTTTGAGATTATATTCGACTGTATTTCACCAAACATCAGGCGGCATCCGAAGCTGGAAATCGAAGCGAAAATTTTGAAACCCTTATGTATATTTACATCATTATATATTTCTTACCCCACCCCCACATGATCCTATATCCATCACCAATCGTATACACATCGAATTGTGCTAATTTACTACAAAGTTACGCAAAGCAGCATCTACTATCTACAATATGTACTGCGTGACTCTTAATACGTCCCTGCCGAATGTTACAGCGTTCGATGATCACGTTGTCTTGTTTATGTCCGGTCTATCTCTTATCTGAATATACTGTAGAGAAAAATACTTCTTAGACCTAAGCAAATAACAGTTGCCACCATTAACCAGATGAGTTTGTGCCAGACCAAGTCTTCGGTGATCAGCGCACCGACCAGCCGAAATGAGCAACTCTTTGATAGAGTTCGGCCATCCCTCGAAGCCGGATGAGTGCTAGGGTGCTTCTTGTTATTCAGGGTACAGTAGTGTGTTTTTTTTTCAGCTCACCGGCGGATATCGGCTTGTCACTCTGAATTGCAGTTTTTCAGTTTTTCAGACCGGCACGGGTATTATGTAAAAATCCTATAAAACGTCAAAAAAAAAGAAAACAAAATGTCATCTTGCAGACTAGTTAGTTTTTAGGGTGCAAATAGTTCATTCTACGTTTGCTCGCTATGACCGCTGTGCGCGTCCATCTATGAAGGAAAGACTCAGCTACACGCATTGTTGGTTGCATATGCTTCGTGAAGCCGAGCAGTCTGCAGTTTCCATCTCTGTAGAAAATAGCTACCTAATGTCACAAAAAAACAATACTATGTCAACAAAAATCGACATAATGTCACTCCAAGGTACGTAACAACCGTAAGGTACCGTACTAATAATTGCTAAAAGGCATGATACAACGTTGTCTCCTGAAGTACTTGTTGAGACAATATATTTAAACTACCCTCATAGCGACGTCGTATTTATCAATAACGGTTTAGGAGCATCGAATTCCCAACTTTATTAATATGTCAAATGCTTTATAGATCGTAGCCGTGTGACTAGAAACTTTCTAACGAAAGCTTGAGGAGCAAGTTGATAGCAATAAAAGTCGATTAGATTATAATACCTTGCATATACACTAAATATCTCTGAATAGCAACACCAGAGAGAAATTCTGCTATACATTTTGGAACTAGCGTCATAACAAACTTCAGCATACAGGATATTAATAAACTTTGTAACTCAGAGAAAACAGATGCATTCAGCCATTCTGAATTAATACTTTGCTCTTTGTTGCAGAAATGTGGTTTTGCCAGACCTCGGGAGTTATACCATTGATGTGGTGGTGATGCAAGGCTTATCCAGATGGTCGATACAAAGAAAATGGGTAAATTTAGGAATGAAGGATGTTTTCCCAAACAAGGAAAATGATTAAGGCAAAAAATAGCGTTAACTTTGCACTGACCACGAAATGCTCTCATTAGTTTGTGAAGGATTATGTTAGGCACAAGTCATGTCCTCTGAGTTTTCCTCACACATTTGACAACATTTCGATCTAGCCTACCGCCTTAACGATAGTGCCGACCAACCAACAACGTGGCAACTCTGCCTGACTTTATCGCTTAGATCAAGGGGAGTCAACTCATACGGTAGAACGGGAAACAAGGTGACGTTGCTAGATCTCAATCTGACAGCACTGTGGCATCAAAGTAAAGTGGTGGCTTTTGAAAGGGATGGCGGTTTATTGCTGATATTTTTCAGGTGGGCGAACCGTTTGATGTGGATCTCTTGGGAAAGGGTTTAGAAATGAAGAGCTTCGAATGTTGTTAGATTGAACAGTCACATATGTGAAACGCTATGGAAAATACAATAACTAGAGTAAAAGCATTTCATTCCAATGCCAACCTCTGATGATCAGAGTTAGAGGGAATAAAGATTACCTGCTGCTATTACTTTTTCCAGGGAATACATCTGGACAATATAACATTTCAGGAAGAAAATGGGATGAAAGAAGGAAGGGAGCAAGAAGTGAACGTTTGCGATTTATGTCGATATCAAAATCAAAAACTATACATCTCTTCCGAACAAAATGTGTATATCTGCTTAAGAATATTTTTTAGATCAGAAGTATGTCAGGTTTTGTCACGTGTCAAAATGACGGAACCTTTTTCTTACTATTTTGATCACTTACCAGTAATTTGAATTTCTCATTATTGATTATAGAGCACCGATTCCCAGGCCAAACACTTTCAAATGATTTTCTTTTTGGAAATTTCATAGTTTATTGATTGTATAATTTCACACGTATAATATCTCAGCGACTCAGTATTGTGTTGGAATCTTTTATAATGTTATAGTATTATTAGCGACAGTCTCAGAAATTTCCTCATAAAATATCATTGTTCCCTCGTAAAGAGTTGGTTCTGCCGATTGGCAACCAGCGCCACCTTGTGATATCTACACGTAATAACCTATATAATATTTGCTTTCCTATCAAGATACCTTTTTTCGAAATTTGATTTACTATCAAGATACCTTCTTTACTTATCGAGATACCTTTTTCCTATCAGATACCTTGTTTTAAAAACTAGTGTGTACAGACGCATCGAGCGCCATTTTTCTTTTCTTTCTGCTGAGGTTTAGTTTTGTGTGGGCGTTGTTTCGTTAACTCCAGATTCTGAGATATTAATGCTCCAAACAACAGTCTATGGAGTGGTACCCTTTTATTTTGTACCTTACGTTTAGTTGTTTGGGTTGGGGTGCTAGGGGACATCTGAGCTGCACCTAGAGCTGTAACTGATAAGTTTAGGTTCAAGCGTTAAAATATTTGTAAAGCCTATATGTTATTTGTAAAGACTTGGTACGTGTTATTAATTCATTAATTAATTTAAAAAAAAGGAAAGAGGAATCGCACCACCATTTCCTCTTGTTTATAAAAAAAAGGCGTGTCTGTTTTTGGAAACTGACTATTTTATTAATAATTTTTAACGAGAATTTATCAGTGTTTAAGGTAAGTAATACGAATGTGTGAATTTTTCTCAAGGGGCGACCATGGGCAACAGATAACGTCATGTAAAGTGTACCTGATACACTCTAAGCTTTCTGACGGGCGAAGGTAGGCAAAATTTTTTAAGGGGTTGTAGAAAATTCCCAAAATTGTGCGAAATATGCAAATTTCAAGGGCCGTCTGTTTTCTCAGAAAGGGTCACGGCATCCCCTGGCACCCTCCCACGAGCGTCCATCACATTACATAAAGTAAACGTTGTATGCTTTCAATATGTATTTTTTAGCTATTTTCACATATTTTTTAATCAATGACAAATTATTTTATGGGAAATTTTTTACATCAAATTGATCTGACGTGAGGTGCGATGCAAGCCATTTTTTATGCCATATTCGGACCCACAACAATATATAATGGTGATTTTTGGGCTACCTTGGTATATAGGGTTTCGTTCACTTCACAGGAACGGAAGATAGAAATAGGGATTTCAAAAGTGCAAAACACTTACCCAGTACTAACGTGGGCCAGCTCTCTAGCCTCGAAGTCAACCCCTTAAGGAAGATTTGATGGAGGAACATTACAGTCTCGGTGTTCAAAAATATCGAATTGACATCTTCGTGCGAACAGGGCGGCTTCTTGGACGAAGCCGCCATTTTGAATGGTCTGAGGAAGCAGGTCACCAACACTTCCATCTGTTCCATATATTCTTCCTCCGCCTCAACCATTCTGAAGACCAAACTGTTCCTCTTGCGCATGCTCTCTGCATGTGGACTCTTGATGTACTGTTCCACGATTTGCTTCCATCGCCTCCTACAGAGCCAGCCTCTGAAGAAGCTCTGGACTTTCTTGATCTTTCTGAGCTCGATGGAGTCTTGGTCCAAGTTAGCGAACTGACCCGTCATGCCGGCGCTGCTTGTCCCTTGGACGGAAGAGAGGCTCCCGCTGGATTGATGATGTGATAAGGGTTTCCATTCTTTTTTCAAAGACAGTAGCTGAAACAAAAGAAGGAATGACAAAGTCGTGTTTGCTGTTCTTCTCCTGTAACCATGACCAACCACAAACAGGGCTGTTTTGTGCCCATTAGCAACTCCTCAAAATGGTATAGGTGTTAGGTCTAGTCGTGAAGACAGACAAAACCACAAGCAAACAAGTGGATGTGACCGAAGTACCGATAAAAAACAGAATAGTTCTACACTATGTGTAAGAAACTGGGTGCGCCATCTATTACTTTGTTTTACCTATAAGTTTATGTGTTACCATGTGAGCCAAAAGTCATGTGGTATGCATAAATGAACTGTCAAAGGTATGCCATTTATAGTCATGGATTCGTTTTCAACACAACAACGCAATTTGGTTATCCAAACTTATTACGAAAACGGTCGAAATAGAAAAAATACTTTTCGCAAACTTCGCACTAGTTTTGGCCGAAATGGACGCCCTACAGACCCTGAAATTCCTTGGATTGTTGGTTGTTTTGGGGAAACTGGTTCAGCTGAAGATCGTAGACCATACCAACATGCTCGTCCAGCTCGTACTCATGAAACATAGCCGCAGTGAGTGAAAGTGTGGGAGAAGATCCAACCACCTCGACTAGGCACCGTTCGCAACAATTGGGTATTAGTGAGACCACTTTACGCCGCAGTTTACACATTGATTCACACCTCCATCCATACAAAATCCAACTGACACAAGAATTGAAGCCGGCAGACCATCAACAGCGGCGTGTTTGTGTTAATTCGATGCTGGAAGACGAATTTTCGGCCAAAGTGCTCTTTTCCGGTGAGGCTCATTTTCACCTCAATGGGTACGTAAATAAGCAAAATAGCAGATTCTGGGGGGCTGAAAATCCACACTAATATCATGAATAACCTCTCCATCCTGAAAAAATAACGGTTTGATGCGGATTAGGGTCTGGTGGCATCGTTGGACCAGTCTTCTTTGAAGATGCCGAAGAAAAGGCCACTACCGTCAACGGGGAACATTATCGCGGCATGTTAACAGACTTTTTGTGGCCACAGTTGGATCGTATTGGTGCCGATGATCTTTGGCTTCATCAAGACGGACCAACGGCTCACACATCTAGCCAAACAATCACCTTATTGCACACGAAATTTCAAGACCGCATAATTTCACGAAATTCAGATGTCAGTTGGCCCCCGAGATCGTGCGATTTAACACCTCTTTAACCACTATTTTCTTTGGGGATTTTCGAAAGGAAAAGCGTATGCGAATGATCCCCGGACAATTCAAGACCTAAGGCGCAATATTCAGACTGAAATTGCGGCCATAGACCCGATTATTCTGGGAAAAGTCATTCAAAATTTTGATGTTCGGATGTTGGCCTGTTAACGAAGCCGCGGTGGTCACATGGCTGATGTTATTTTTCATACATAAATGGCATAAACCAACCTTCATTTATCAATAAGAAAATTCGATTTCACCTCGTAAAAAGCGTGTGGATTTTTCAAATAGGAAAAAAGTAATAGGTGACGCACCCTATACAAGGGAAAACAGTACTAGAAAATCTTTTATTATTTTTCTCGTGTATAATACACCATTTTTTTCTGTGACAAGAAAAACGACGATTTAATATTGAAAAATTATATTATTACAATATTTAAGTCAGAAATTCAGATGCCAGTTGGCCCCCGAGATCGTGCCATTTAACACCTCTTGACTATTTTCTTTGGGGATTTTTGAAAGAAAAAGTATATGCGAATGGTCCCCGGACAATTCAAGACCTAAAGCGCAATATTCGGAGTGAAATTGAGGCCATAGAAACGATTATTCTGGGAAAAGTCATTGAAAATTTGGATGTTCGGTTATTATTTTTCATACATAAATGGCATAAACCAACCTTCATTTATCAATAAAAAAATTCGATTTCACCGCGTAAAAAGCGTGTTCATTTTTCAAATAGAAAAAATTTAGTAGATGACGCACCCTCTTTTGTTTTGTATACATTTTCGGTCGTAGTTTTAGTCTCATTCATTGATCTTCCACCATATCCATGGGTGTCCGGCTATAAAATGTCCCTCTAACTTTTTTATATGATTTTTCAGAAGAAAAAGTTGTATATGAAAGCCTCTTATATGAATATTGCAATCGACGCATATATTGAAAATATATTTCTAGCATTCAAGTTTCGAGGGTAATCTATCAGGTAACCAAATAAGTTCGTGTGGTTTTTAATAGAAAAATATAAATTTTTATTGAGAAACAATAAGACACTATTTATTCGTCGAAGTAATTTCCATTTCCTTCAATGACCTTTTGCCAGCGCGGAACCAATTCTTGTATGCCGATATTGTATTATTACACGATGTCGACTTATGAACTGTCGGTGCCTCACACAGTTGTCAAGGAACAAAGAAAGGTGATAATCACTCTGTGAAATGTAGGGAGAACATGACGGATGCGGTAACGTTTCCCAGCCGACTTCAGAAATTTTTTCTCGGGTCACTTTTGCGGTATGAGGCTTGGCGTTATCCTGCAAGAATATCACTTTCTTCCGATTGATCAAAGAAGGATGTTTCTGGATGAGTGCTGCTTGTACTCGTTGTAGCTGCTCACAATACAAATTAGCAGTGATAGTTTGACCCCTTTCCAAAAACTCATAATGGAGAATTCCAGTTGCTGTCCACCAAACACACAACAAAACCTCGTTCGGGTGCAAGGAAGCGTGTGTGGTGCCGAATCACTAGGCAACAACCAATGATTTCGAACACAAGATCCATTTTTCGTCGCAGGTTAATAACCGATCAAGAAATGGTTCATTAGCAAATTGGTCA